TTGCTTGTTAGACTGTGAGGCTCACACTCCTCCAGGTTCAATCAGGCGGATATCCATGAGATGGCCCCTCAGCTTGTTTCCGATCTGCTGAGCAAAATCGAAAGTGCCGGGACGGCTGACAAGGTGGCTGAGAACGACCATCTCATGAGATGTAAGTTTGAGGCCGTGACGGAAGCTGATGCTGACATTAACTGAAGGTCTCATGCGCGTGATTTTGACCGCCAGGCAAACACTCACACCTGCCTATGAGCAGACTCTTGGTCGCTTAGTGGGAATTCTTGGCGTCATCTCTCAGAATCCCAGCAACCCGCTCTTCGATCAGTACATATTCGAAAGCATTTCAGGCCTCATGAGGTCTGCCTGTTTCTACAAATTGTGTTAACTCGATTTGACCAGTCGTAGATTTGTCGTGGAAGGCTCGCCGGGGACCCTTTCCACCTTTGAAAGCGCCTTGTTCGGACCATTCACCATCATCATTGACCGCGACATTGAACGTGAGCTTCCATTGGCTGGGTTTGATTGCGACTAAATCATCTAGAATATGTTCCCTTCGTCTTTCAACTGCTGGCCCAGATGCTGTCTCTGCACAGTTCTGGTGTGCCAGTGCAATACAGGCCGCTTCTTCCGATGCTGTTCACTCCGGCATCATGGCAACAGAAAGGAAGCATCCCAGGACTGGTCAAGCTGCTCAAAGCTTTCCTCGAGCGCGACAGTGCGCAGATGACTGCCTCGGGTCAGATTGCTAATGTGTTGGCGGTCGTGCAACAAAGACTAATTCCGAGCAAATTGAATGATGTCTGGGGCTTCGAGCTGCTCCAGGCTGTGGTCGCCTTTGTCAAACCGTGAGCCTTAGTCTCTCAAACGCCCTCCAGGCCATCTGACATCCGTTGCCTGCAGATCTGACCTCCAGTCGTATTTCAAGGCGGTCATCATGACACTGCTCACGAGACTCCAGACGAGCAAGACCGACAAATTTGTCTATCTGTGTGCCAAATTCCTGTTGTATTGCATGGCCCTCGATATCGATGGCTTGGGTCCTGACTACGTGATCCGCCCGATTGAGGAAATCCAGCCCAAGTCAGTGCTTTGGTCTTCCTCCGACTCGCGCTAACCCGAAGCCAAGATTGTGGAGCACGATCATGACTCAGTTTGTGCTCCCTCAAATTCCGCTCATGCCTCAGAAGGATCGCAAGTTAGCCATCGTTGGTGCGATCCGTCTCGTGATGCGGAGCAATGCCATGTTGCAGGAACCCAGCGTACAGCCTTGGTAAGCTGTTTACCACAGTTTCAGTCTTCAGCACTGATCGATATCCAGGCCAAGTGCATTTTCGTCCATCTTCCAGCTGTTGTCTGGATCATATCTTGAAGGCGCCACAACATCAAAAAAGACAGACGACAACACCGCCATCGGACTGACCGACATTGACATCGAGGAGCAAACGGCTGGTTACCAAGCTGCCTATTCCCGACTGGCGGCGGCGGAGGGTACCGAAGCAGACCCTGTTGCATATGTGCGAGACGTCAAGGACTTCTTCCAGAACGAGGTCCGCGAACTGAAATCTCGCAACCCTGCTCAACTCCAGGCGCTGCTCTCGGCTGTAGATCCAAATGTCGCCAGGCCCTTCATGTAGACACATCACGCACTCCGCAATCTTATCAGATACACAATCTATCATCATTTCTGTTGCACGCAAACTTTGTTCCTGCTTGCGCCGTCATCCATCATACCCGGTTTGTACCGTCATGCTCGCCCGCCAAACGTTGAGTCGCGCCCCCGCCACACTTTCTAGAGCTGGCCCTGGAAATGCGCGCACCATGGCTACTCTCCGAGAGATTGAGCTCCGTCTCAAGTCCGTTCGCAACATCGAGAAAATCACAGCGTCCATGAAAATGATTGCCTCGACCAAGTTGGCAAAGGCTCAGCGTGCCATGACTGCTGGCAAGGAGTATGGTATTGCAAACTCCGGTACGTTTTATGCTTGCAATACTCGAAGTGTAGCTATATGGCCGTCACAGAGGTCTTTGAGCACTCAACTCCGGCCTCGGCCTCCACCAAGCGGCTGTTCGTCGTCATCTCTTCCGACAAGGGTCTGTGCGGAGGTATCCATTCTTCCGTGACCAAAGCGACGCGCCGAGCTTTCAATGGCGTCGCCGAATCTCCTCTCCTGGATGCGGACTCCCAGCCTGTGGCTGTGGATGCAGACACGCCTATCATGGTCGTCGGAGACAAGTCCAAGGGCCAACTTCTGCGCACCATGTCACAAAACATGCGCATGACCTTCAACCAAGTTGGCAAGGATGTCCCTACCTTTGCCGACGCTGCTGGTATTGCCGACCTGATCACCAAGAGCGGCGTGGCGTATGACTCCGTTGTCATTGTCCACAACAAGTTTGTCTCTGCGATTAGCTACGAGGCGGGTGTCACCGAAATTCGTGGGGAGGCCGGCCTGAAGGAGAGCGGTACGTGTCTGTCTACCCCAATATCAGATATCCATCCTCAATGCTCTTCAGAGGGCTTCAAGGCGTACGAGATGGAGGATGACTTCACCAAGGATTTGGCCGAGTTCTCGCTTGCCAACGCCCTGTTTTCCGCTCTGGTTGAATCCCATGCTTGTGAGATTAGCGCCCGGTGGGTTTATTCCCTTTCTGTCTAGGATTCTGCCAACCCAGTCAAAACAGTCGCAATGCCATGGACAATGCCTCCAAAAATGCCAAGGACATGATTGGTTCGCTCCAGATGCAATACAACCGAGGCCGACAGGCAGCCATCACCAACGAGTTGGTCGATATCATTACCGGTATGTCTCGCTCATCTGGGCTACATCTCCGTTCACGCATGTCTTCCCAGGTGCCAGTGCCCTCTAAGTTAGATTTTCGAGTAGCACATAATGGAATGATGCTTCCTGTTCACCCGATGCTTAAGTTCGGATATGAGATATGCTGTATAGACCTGTCGGCAATAACGATGCACATTACTCATTGATGCACAAAATACCTCGAGAGCTACCTTACCACGAGTACGATGTATCCCTAACATAAAATACGCGACCATGGGGAATAATAAACAGGACTCAGAAAAAGATATGCTGTATGTATGGTACATGCGCTACGTGCTCTGTCTAATGGGGGCACTACCCTTCTCGTGTGCTGTGCGCAGGCTAGATGCGTGTTAGAATGCGCGAAATCCACGAGAGAAGCTGCCGACCTGTAATCGTCCCCATTTTGAGTGATATAGCGGACCCATGGCAGAGCCTGGTAACCGCTTTTCTCCACAATCTTCAGGTATCTGACCTGGATGCCAGAGACCGTAAAGTAAGGGATCTCATATTTGACGGTAATGGGGGCCCGTTTCTCGTTATCGTGTTCTGTATTCGAAGATCATGGAAATAGCCGCAGCGCAGAGCGTTGGAACTGACCGTTCTTAACGCTGGGCAGACCGAAATGCGCACGCATCAAAAACTCCTTCCCGCCGGCCAGTTGCTTAATCTTCCACACGAAGGCGCTTTTGTCAGGGGCATATTGCACCGTGCCGGTGGACGCCTGTGAGATTTCATTAGGATTACGGACAATCAGACGGAGGATGAACGGCGCACGCGGAACTTGGGGCTATCTGCATCATCAGGGACTGGGACGTAGATTTCGACGTTGTTCGCGGTGCTCCTCCTCTTGAACTGAGCGATGACTTTGACCATGTATTCCACCCGACTTCCTTTGTGGCTCTCGACAGCAGCTTCCACCCATATCAGCGGTTTTACGGGCGTCGACAGGCGATAAGACATAAGCTCAAATTCCCCATCCGGAGGGATAAAGGAGATCGTGCGGTCGTTTTCAAATCGTGATAACCGTACACATTGGTGGAATTTGACGTCTTCCATTTCAATAGCCTTGCCTCTTGCAGCTAAGGGGTGTGTGAATGAAACGTGAAATCAAGAGATACCCATACGCACTGCGACCAGTGCTTTCAAACATGACTTTGTCGTTGAGCCCAAGTCTGAGCTCTGGCATGCCGGACAGATAACACTTCATCTTCACGGCACCAAGAATCTCAGAGCGGACGACGTCTCCCTTGGCATTCACGAGGAGATTCACGCTCTCGATGACATCCAAGAAAACTTCGTTTTTCCTGTACCGTATTCCCTCCGTTCGCCAAGACACGGCGTTTGTAATCGCTGGCGGAGGACGCACTTGGATTTCGAGCTTGTGCGACTCTTGCGTGATGTATCTGGGTAGTAAGACGTGAGGCCGATACAATATCGGGTGAGTTCCGACGCACTCTTGGAGAATCTTGCTTTCTGTAGTTTGCGGATACCCGAAATCCATCATCTCGTCCATAAGCTCGTATATGATCACGAAGTTATCGCGAATACTCTCTTCCTCCAACTCTTTGAAGTATTCCACGAGTACCTGGGTAAGGCGGTGGAGAAACAGAATTGTCTCAGCAGCGTTAGAGTTTCGTTTAGAAAGGGCAAGCAGATAGAGGTTGGAATGTCGGATGTGCATGTAGTTGATGCCCTGGCTGGAGAAACAGGGAGTGACTTGTTGACCCTCCTCTTCGATTTCCAGCACCAAAGGTAGAAAGCGCTCGACATAGGATGCGGGGACATCGTCTCGGTACGACCGCTGGATCAGCGGCTTTCCCTTGAGATCGAGGATTGCAATAAGACTAGCCATGATGATCAACAAAGGTAAACACGAAGAAACTACTAATTGAGAGGAAACTTCGGTGTCAAGCACTTCCATGCGGTATTCAAGAGCCTCAGGGACATCAGTAATGCTCATTCGACAGATATGCTATTGTAGATAGCGCCCGGAGTCTGAGCGCTGACCGGGCGCGGTCTTCTGGCGCGTTGTGCCGCTGGCGGCGAAATCGGCGAACGCGCCAATCTGAATATTGACGTTTCGGCTTTGCCGATCACGTACGAGACAGCACAAATGCCGAAGACCGGCCGTGCATGCTTATGACCTGGGAGCAGTCCACACGGGACTGATCGATTGAAACCCCGACATCATAACTTCTTTCCTTCCTACAAGCTACATCGAGCTCGTTGCGCGGCGGGCTCCCGCCAAGCGACTATGTTGTACCTTACTTCCGATCTTTTCCCCGTCTGTGAGTAGGCCTTGTCACTTCTAGTGAGCTCGCTCACATGTTCCCCAGTCGTCCCTTTTGGTGTTATTGGGTGCTTGTTACCGTTGCCGTCTGCCCATATTCCTCTCTAACCTCTTCGTCAGCTTCTACCGATACCTATGGTACCTCATTCGTCTCACCGCCTCCGCCGTCTATCGCCCAGTGCCGTTACCCGAAAACCCTACCTACATTGCAGCCGAAGACGTCACCATCATTGTCCCCACCATTGATGCGGGCGAAGAGTTCAAAGAAGCCGCTCGCAGCTGGCTAGTCGGGCAGCCAAAGGAGATTCTCATCATCACCGAGGAGAAAATGTTGAAGGAACTACAAGCCCTCGCCAATGCCGTCGATCCGGAACGTATCCGGGTGTTAACGGTGCCCTTTGCCAATAAACGACTCCAGATGAGCCACGGTATCAAGAACACTACGACTGATATCATCTTCTTCGCTGACGACGATGCCATCTGGCCTCCTACCCTCCTTCCCTCTGTACTCGCGTGTTTCGAAGACCAGAAAGTTGGTGGTGTTGGGACCAGTCAGCGTGTACAACCCGTCGGGAATCGCATGACGGTTTGGGAAGTGCTTGCCGCTTTCCGCCTCACCATTCGCAACATCGAAATATCATGCTCCACACACATCGACGGTGGCCTACCATGCCTCTCCGGTCGGACTGCTGCTTACCGCACCATCATTCTCAAAGACCCTGAGTTTCTTCACGGCTTTACCCATGATTATTGGCTCGGTAAATACCAGCTCAACTCCGGTGACGACAAGTTTTTGACAAGATGGATGGTATCCCACGGCTGGAGTACGTACGTGCAGTGCTGCAAAGAAGCAGAGCTGCTCAGTACTATGAAACCTAACTGGCGATTCCTCAAACAAGTATTGCGTTGGACCCGGAACACCTGGCGGTCGGATCTCCGCAGTCTATTCATGGAGCGTTATATTTGGACGAGCCACCCATACGTAGCATATACCATGGTCCGTCTGCTCCCACTTGGATTCTCCGAGCCTCATCGTCGCCACAGGTTGACAAGCTTTTCAATCCGTTCACCCTGCTCCTCGGCCCTGTTTTTGTCGCTCGGCTCATCGCCAAGAGCACTATCCCCGTTTCACAGGGTGGATACCATCTCCCGTGGTGGTCAGTCTTCTTGAGATGCTTGCTTCATCCCCTTGAAACACATTGTCAGGAACATCATCGCGTCCTATGTCGTCTGGCTTTTTGCTACGCGAACGGCCAAGTTGTTGCCTCACCTGTGGCAGCGGCCTCAAGATATCATTCACGTTCCCGCCTTCATCCTCTTCGGGTACTACTTCGCCATCATGAAATTGTACGCCCTTTGCACGTTACACGAGGTGTGTTGCACGGATACTCAAGCTGTGGTCGTTCTAACCAAGAGCAGACGGGTTGGGGAACTCGTGCGGGTATCGGTGATGCGTCCGCAGCCACCGCAGCCATGGCTGCAGCTGACAGCGCACGTTTGCAAGAAAAAACAGCTCCTGCGTCCAGCTACTCAAACAGTGACCCATACCAACCTCCCCCTAGCGCTTATTATCAACAAGGCCAGGATTCACCCTTTCGAGACGAGATGTCACCGTTCACGGACGAGACTGCTGGTGAAGAGAGCGCTACCCCGGTATATGCAGCGAGAGCTCGCCGAGCCGAACACGATGCAAGTTCACAGATGGGTTTTGCCAGTTAATGCTGCGGACGAGGTTCTCTACAAGCATCAAATACTTAGAACCCGGACCTTTATCCATCTGCATCTACTGTCTCGTATACCCTCGCTACTACCTAAGATATTGCTTTCGATTGGACTATAATATCTCATCATCAATCTTCTGACTTGCTTGTCGCTGTTGTCAAGCCTGTTGAATTGAACGCCGACGGTAGACCATGATGGATGGACCTAAGGCAGCCAAGTAGTGTTCCCCTTTGTCGACGCGTTTTCTGTCTCATTTCCACCAGGAAACGCAAACTCACTGACAAGAGTGTTCCCCATGCCATTCTCCAGAACCCAACTTTCGCGCAAGATTCGCAAATGTACCAGGATCTTTTGGCTATGGAGAGGAAATTGGACTGGACTATGACTCGCAAGAAAGCCGAGATTCAAGACGCTCTCGTCCGAACCCCAAACGTGCAGCCGTCAATGACTTCCCTCAACGGAACTGACTGTAGTTTATGTTGCAGACCACACGCACGTTGCGACTTTTCATGAGCCACACCGTATCGAGCCAACCCTGGCAGACTTCATCCGACCTTATCGATACACCGAACTTTGAAACCGGGGAAGGAATTCCGTCGTGGGCTTTGAAATTAGAGGGTCGGCTGTTGGAGGCAAGTAACAGCTACGCACTCCGCCCGTGGACCCTGTCTTCATCTTTTCCAGCTTCCCGGTCAGCGCGCAAAAGACAAAATTTCAGCGCGGAAATTCTCCACGTTCATCAAGCGCTTGGTTATTGAATTAGACCGAGATCCCAATCTCTATCCAGAAGGTAACATCGTTGAGGTATGTGTCCCTGCACCAATCTACGACCCACTAAATAATTCATCTCCGTCATACCAGTGGCCACGGGCAGCAGGGGCCCAAAATATACCACAAGACGGCTTTACTATTCGCCGGAAGGGGGATGTGCCCACCAAAGTGCGAGTCATAATCTATCTAGAACACCAGCCAGAGCAATTGCGTGTCATCCCAGAGTTGGGTAAGTTCCTTCACTGCTCCCAATCGGATCTTTTTTCTTACTCTATGCAGCGAATATCTTGGGGATCAAAGAGGATAGTCGTATTGGAATCACCCAAAGTTTGTGGAACTACATCAAGGTCCAGGGCTTACAGGACAAGGAAGACCGACGACTCGTGAGAGCTGATGACAAGCTTCGGCACATCTTTGGCGGAGATAGTTTGCCATTCCAGAAACTGTCTGAGTTGGCCAACCGTTGTCTTACCGCACCTGAACCTGTCGTTCTGAACTATGTCATCAACCCCACTGTCTCTCCCCCGGAGCGCCCTATGGCTTGGGATGTCGAGGTCAAGATGGAGGATGTCGGTCTCAAAAGCCGGATGTCGGTTGTGGTTCAGGCAACGAAGGAAAGCTCCCAAAGCTTGGCCAAACTGGACGATGAGGTGCGTGATATGGTAAAAACCCATTTCCGCAAACTGAATGAATGGGCGAGATCTCGACTCTGGCACAATCCCTGCAAAACTCACATCTAAAACGAACATTCCTCGAATCATTTGCCAACGATCCATCGCAGTTCATCCAGACGTGGCTCGAGTCTCAATCGAGGGACTTGGAGACCGTGCTGGGCAGCGGCCCTTCGGACGGATTGACTATCCGTCAAGAAGAGCTCAAGCGAAGCGAATTCTTCAAACTTCCTTGGGTCGAAGAGGCTGTTTCTATCCAAGAGGGTCTTCGTTTGGCTAGTAAACCTGTTGTGTAAACTATCCCAGCTGTTGTATGTTAAGATATGTAAAGATTCCTCCTAGTTCGAGTAAGTGCATGTATTGTCTTGTGACTGTCCGAGGAACCTCGGATCAGGCTCCCTTTGTCCTCGATGATGTAAGTACGAGAGAGCGTGACATGACAGTCACAACCACTTCTGATCACAATCTGCCGGGGGCACGGTCTGGAGTATGAATGTGGGTGTTCATTCCGCGAAATCTAGTGTTTCTTTGCCTTAAAGACCTCCAGAATCTCCTTCGTACCCTCACTGAGAGCAAGACGCGCGATGGCTTCCCGGAGCATGACCTGAAGTTACTATTAACAAGCGTCAAGGACATTCGAGTGAGTGTCTCAACCACACTGTCATTCCTCGTATTTTAATCGTGCCACAGCGTCAAGCACCGGATACCAGGCTACAGGATGCATTTTATGACTCTCTGGAGGGCCTCTTACTGGATCTACGCACCACAACCATTGTCAGTGAAGTCATTCCAAGTATGGAAGGCGTGACCGCGTTGACCTGTTCTTGGGTTTGTAGGATAACCACGATGCGGAAGCTTTTCTGAGGCCAGTGACGAGATCTGAGGTTCCCGACTACCATGAAAGTACGTGTTACTTGCGCAAAGTATGCCTGAATGTTCACCACAATCCAGTCATTTCACACCCAATGGACCTGCAGACCATGCTCAAGAAAGTCAAATTGAAACAATACAAATCGAAACGCGATTTCCAAGATGACCTTGATCTGATATGGGCCAACTGCTTGACCTACAACGCGAAGCCGGTGGGTCAACTCGTTCTTGTTTCCCTAGTGGCACTAACCTCCCGTTTGAGACGCATCATCTTCGTCAATGCGCCAAACGCCTCAAAGTCAAGGCCGACCGTCTTCTCCGGAACATTACCGATCGAAGAGAGCGTCAAGACCCATTGATCCCCGCAGCTCTGGGCGGTGGAGGCCCCATGCCAGGTGTTACACGTGCAATGAATACGGTTGGAAAGGCCATGACAATCAACGGAAACGGAAACGCAGTCAACGGACACAGGCCGACAACCATCACAATCAAACCTCACAGGAGGTCTACGAACGATATCCGCAAGACAATCAGTCCTGGGACGTCCATCAAACGAGGTCCTGCTGTTGTAATGGCCGCTTTTGGCGAGATGCCTGCTCTGGTCCGCACAACTGAGGGTATGCGTATGTTCTCAGAAGCAGAATCGAGCAAGGCTGTATTGGGAAATCTGCAACGGTTTCTTCCTGTCTCCCTCACAGACGATGCTATCATTGTGAAGGAGGAGGAGGAAGACATATACATGGACAGGGCTGCCGGAGAGAAACGGCCATGGTGCGTCCCGTATTGTCACCTTTGCTATTGTTGTCTTAATATGTACAAGGACTGGCTCGGACAATCGACCCCGAAAGCGTTTGCGACAAGACAGTCATGCACCAGAAGATGTCGGTGATCCTTTTCTCTGGTGGAGTGCTGCTCAGTCAGATGCGCTGATTCCCAATGGATTGCCGCACATTCCGTATCCCTCCTCTGGGATATCGGCCCGCCCTCCCACTGTTTTGGCCCGCAAAAGGAGACCAAAGAAGGTTGCGACAAGCAAGTCAGAAAAGTTTCTACTGACCCTCATGAATGACAACATCCGCACCATACGTCGTCTGAGGCATACACATACTCGCTTTTCTGCGCTTGGACTGGGACAACCATCCGCCAATCCAGACGACTTTGACGCGCCACCTGCACCTCCTCCGCTGGACGGGCCAGCTGCAGCAGACATGTCGATTCAGGACGAAGACGCATTTATAAGTGTAGGCGAAGTCGACGATCAGCCCTGGGGTGCGGCCCTGGGCCTCACGGGACGGTGGAAAAGGCGCAGGGTGGAGCTTGAGGCAGGTACTATGGAGGAACCTATCGAGATCGGGCAACAGAATGCAGAGAATTGCATGCAATGGATGACGGGAAAAGTTTTGGAGCATGCGGGATTCCAAGGTTGGTGCACTTGAAACCGTGCAGTCTTCACTATTCATGTCTATCCACAGGCAGTTCCAGAATGGCACTCGATGTTTTGGCCTCGGTGACATCAGAGTACATGCTGAATGTCGGCCGAACGCTTCGCTACCTTTCTGACAAGTATGGACAGACAATGACGCCCGAGGTGTGTTCCGCGCGAGCTGCTTACACTATGAGCTGAACGTTTTTAGGAAATCATATTGCACACCCTGTTCGAGTCGGGGATCTCACGTGTCCAGGATCTGGAGCGCTATATATCTGACGATATCGAACGCTACGGCTCCCGTTTGGGCGATCTGGAAAAGAAGATCGAGAATGTCTATCGGGAAGTGGTGCGTTGTTTGCATCTGCGTCCATTGTCACACCAAGACTGAGGCCACGCAGACTGCTGTTGGTGGCGTTCTCGATGACGAGGCATTATTCGAAGATGACGACGAAGAAGCTGGTGCTCTTGCAATGTTCGTCTGCTGCATCTTGTATCGGAACATAGCTGACTGACACAGCGGTGACTTTGCTGATGCGCTTGGCGAGGACTATCTCGGATTGCGAGAGTTGGGGATCGCAGCTGAATTCAATATGTCATCGTTGAGTATCCCGAAAAAGCTACTGCGGAGCAAGCGACAAGCAATGGGATTGCACGATCCTGCAGGAACCTCGTATGTATCCTCATTTCCGATGTTGGACATTCGCTCATTACAAGTCAGGGCGCCAAAAGCACCGCTTCTACCATATCCCCCACCCCCTGCCTTTGTCCCTCTGACATTAGGTCAGGTGGAATCGCAGATCGGGCTCTTGCAGGCCTACTACATGAATCGATTCCAGATGCTGGCTCCACAGCCACCACCTGCGGCGACTGGCGAGCCGATTGTTCCGCCTCCTATCCAATTGCACGCCAACATGCAACTCGCAGACGATCTTCCGTTGCCAGCGTCGACAAAGATGGGTCCTTTGGGTCAAATCACGTTATCCAAAGCCAATCCCAAGAAGAAAGGCACGGCCACTCAACCCGGGTCTGCTGCCAAAAATGGAGAAACAGGCGCCGATTCCAAGAAGAAGAAGAAAGGGGCCACCGGTGTCGGCACTGGCAACGGTCGCAAGAAGAATGCGTTGATGTTGCCCCCGCCTTTGCCAGTTCCTACCCCGATCATTGCAGCAGGCGTTTAGCTATCACTTATTTTCTATCGCATTGTATGACGGATCTACAAGCTAGTGCAGCGAATTCATCCACAGTTCACCACATGAAACATAGAATTCATAGAGCATATAGGTAGGCATAACACATATTCATGGGAATCCACTAGCAGAGTGTTGGTATCAGTACATCGTGCTTCAGGTTGTAGAAATGCTCAGAACATCCAGCAATGAATGCGCTGGTCACCACCACACTCCAACATATTACGAGCCAGCCATCCTCCCTCACGCTGATGAACATCGAGAGCAGCTCGGCAGCCCCGATAGACCAGCCTATGGCCCTGAGAAACTCCAACCTCGTCCTCTCTGGGTTGAATGGTTGCTGAATGTAACCGGAAAAGTGTCGTGCTAACAATTTTTGATCCTTCTCAAAATCGAGTCGCACGAGAGTGAGCCAAGAGAAGACAACAGAGCAGAGCGCCATGGCAATCTGTCTGAGTTGGCGATATGCAAGCGTGTCCGCAGATACATACGGTTCTGCCCGAGTCAGGTCTACGCGATTTGAGCGGAAGACCTTCACGCACCGATAACCTTGATACACCCATGTCGACAAATGAGCTCCTGCACCACATTTGCTGGTAATACATTTGGGTCATGCGGAAATCCCAGCTGCAGGTTATCGGGGTCGATGATCTACACAAGATAATTAAGGTTGCCAACGTTGGCGCAAAGATCCCAGGCATACCATGCATGTTTCCAATCCCCATAGTTTCCGAAGCGCAAACAGAGAGAGATCACCAGATGGCTCGACGCGAATGGTAGAGGATATGTCCGCTCTGAGTTTGTGGCGCACTTTGAACCGATGAGCATAGAATTCGACGCGAACATGGCTTTGGGGGGCTATGTGAGCTATTGTCGAGAAAAAAGTGGGGGATGAACTGACCCTGGCAGAGCATCGGCAGTTGGTGGCCAGACCACTACAGGCCTCTGTTGTTCGAGCTGAATGGCGTAGCTTGCCATGTGCTCCTCTGGCGCAGACTCGAAGAGGGACGAGATGTTGCCCATGGCGGTACAAGAAGATTGAGCATCACAGTAGCTTTCTTATGAAAAGTCGGATGAGAGTGCTATGGCAACAAAATACAAAGGCGGAGGTAGCAGGGAAAATACAAGGGGAAAAAGTACAAGGACAAGATGGCAGTGATCTCATCTTATCATGACGTACTGCGGGTCTGCCCCCGAGTCGGCTAGACATCTCGACCGTTTACTTTGAAGCCACAACGAGATGATCTTGACGGAAGAAAAGAAAGACCAGACGCTTCTCTCTGTCCCGTTCGAGCCGTCCTGTCCAACTCCTTCATACTCTACGCACACCACAGGCGTCTCGAGCGACGGTGCAAGCTCGTACCGTTCAAGGTCACCATCAGTCTCAGGACCCTCTGTCGCTCCGTATCCGGCCCTGCAGACATTCTCTCCAGCATCTGCTTATCCACGTCCTCTCAATCCCTCTTCCTCCCTAAGCCGCCTGCCGTCAGACACGATCCGTCCCGCTGCGTTCAAACCCATCTTTGTCTATGCAGAAGGGAACTCACTCAGACGTGGATTCCCACATCTACAGCCTCCGACCCGAGATCCGGAGCTGCCTCATCCCTTCCTTATGCACGATGTCCTTGAGCACGATTGGTTACAGTGCGTAACCAAAGGATTATGCATTGCCCTCCTTACTGATACGAAGGCCAAGATTCGTGGATGAGCTACGCGAGACGGCTCGATTGACAGACAAGGAGCACCTGACTGCAAACTCAGTTCCAGTCCTCTCCGGCATTCCTTTCATCAGTGCGCCGGATTTTACGTGCACTCAATACTTGCCCATCTCACTCATTTCTTGGCAGATTGGGCAGTCGCTAACGCTGTCACAAGGCATCAAAAGGGTAAGAAACCTCGCCTGGTCGGCATGTTAGTGGATAAGTGGAACCATGTGGGTAGCAATGTGGAGCTGCGTGTGGATCAACCTGCCCTCATCACATCTTCTCAACAGCATTTCTTCCATCCCCGGCGACTCCAGGTCATCCTGATGCGGGGCGCAAGTAAAATGAGCGGACAGAGCGATCAGCCCATCGCGGGATTGTATACTCCCGAAAGTTCCAATTTCAACCCTCCGGTTTTGGAGGGAAACCCTTCCGCTGAGAAGATTTATCGACTGTTCGTCGTTTCTCTGGAGGCGTGACGGTATCTGTCCATTTTCAGTTCTCGATGTACTGTGACACCCTCATCTATATATTATTGAGTATCCAGAGTAATTAAGCGTGTATAGCCTTGGAATAAGCGGCCATGCAAGCCTCCTTGAAGGCCTCGCTCAGAGTGGGCTGCGAGAAATCAGTAACATTGAAGCACACCATCAAAGACCAACTTACGTGTGCATGGCAAGTTCGAGCAACATCCTCCGCACTGGCACCGTACTCCATAGCAAGAACGCCCTCGGAGATCATCTCTCCAGCATTCGGACCGATGATATGCACACCGAGGATTCGGTCAGTTTCCTTTTCAGCAAGAATTTTGACGAAGCCGTCGGTGTCCAGGTTGGTTTTCGCCCGCGAGTTGGCCGCAAATGGGAATTTACCAATGGTGTACTGGACCTTGTCTCCCTTGAGGTCTTCTTCCGTCTTTCCAACCCATGCAACTTCAGGGTGCGTATAGACCACCGAAGGAATCACGTTGTAGTTCACGTGACCGTGACCAGACTTGATATATTCGACGGCAGCAATTCCTGCGCACGTTAAGACGGAAAAAGGCGATCGAGTCAAATACGAACCTTCCTCTTCGGCCTTGTGGGCCAGCATGGGCCCGAAGGTCACGTCCCCGATGCACTTGATGTTGGAAACGGAAGTGTTGAATTGGTCATCAATCACAATCCGACCTCGGTTGTCCATCTCCACACCGGCAGCCTCGATGTTCAGGCCTTGCACATAGGGTCGTCGGCCAACGGCGACTAGCACAACGTCTGCATCGAGAGACTCCTCTTTTCCACCAGCAGCGGCCTCCATCTTCAAGGTAACCTTGCCGTCGACCTTCTCGGCGGCAGTCACCTTCGTGTTGAGCTTGAATTTCAGGCCCTGCTTCGCCAGGAAACGCTGGAACTGCTTGCTAGGGGCGGGATTAAGTTGCGAGGATAAGTGAGCACGAAAGAAGCGCACGCGACTTCGCCGTCAATACCGGCACCACCAATCGCACCCAGAAACTCGACCACCGTGACCTCTGCACCCAGCCTGCTCCAAACACTGCCCATTTCAAGGCCGATGATACCACCACCGATGACAACCAGCTTCTCTGGAACTTTCTGGAGCGAAAGGACACCGGTTGAGCTCACGATCTGCTCCTCGTCGATAGGGATCCCTCCGCCGGGAAATGGTGCGACTTCGGAACCGGTAGCAATGATCACATTTTTCGTTTCGACTTCGGTCTTGCCACCATCGAGCAAGTCGACTGAGATCTTAGTGGGAGAAACGAAGGATCCGGCGCCCTTGATGTAGTCGACGCCAGCCTGCTTGAAAAGGTACTCAATTCCTTTGGTGAGTCCGGTAACAGCGTCGTCCTTGGCAGCAAGCATCGCCGGGAGATTGAGAGACACATCGCTCACTACCTGTACTGTCAAGAAGAAAGTACATGGTAAGAATGAACGTGTTCGCACCGTCGATTCCTCGCCGCTTCATGTCATGCTTGGCAGTGTGGTACAAATGGGAGTTGTTGAGCATGGCTTTAGAAGGGATGCATCCAACGTTCAGACAGGTCCCGCCGAGAGATCCTCGTTTCTCTATGCAAGCGGTCTCGATAACGAGTGAGCGCACAAAGAGGCACGAAAAACGTTTGATAATTACCTTTAGACCGAGCTGAGCAGCTTTAATAGCAGCAACATAGCCGCCAGGACCTGAAGAAAAATTAAACAAGGAAATGTGACGGTTTAACAAGGCGCATACCACCACCAATCACGACCACTTCATATGGTTCTGCGGGAGTGGAATACTTTCGCGATGATGACGTCCAGCGCAAACGCGAAACAGAGCGTGAAGCATTCTGCAATGACGTTCAGTATCTTCGAGCGAAAGCGACGTGGTATATTCACCCGCTGCGTTATCCTCTGTAACATACTGGCAAAGTCGGAGGTTGTAGGAAGCTCTCGGTGACGGCACAAACCCGGGTTTGATCGGCCAATCAGAGGCAAATCGGAAAACGCCGGGGGTTTTGATGATTATTTAATACAAGACTAGTACTGGGATATGGAACGAAAAGAACTAGTAAGAACGACCAAACAAGGTCCAGCGTTTGGCATCTTTACCACAGGCTGGGCACTTGGTCTGGCCTGGGACGATGGGGGTCCAGCGAGATTGATCGAATGGAATGCAGAGAGACTTGGCCCCGGCTGATGGAGCCCGCTCGTCCTGAGGCTCCGAGCTGAGGGAGGCCGTTGAGAGCGAGACAGTAATAAACGAAGAGGAAACACTCACGCTCTGCCGCTGCGCTCTTTGATGTCATCTTCGCAGGCTTCTTCTTCACACCAAGGCAAAACAACAACGCACTTGTTGTCCAAGGTCGGGACAACATCCTCCCAACGACTTATCTCCTTCAGACTGGCGTCGTAAGTTGTCTTGGCTTTGTCAAACATGTCGCTCTGGATTGTCTGCAGAAGTGAGGAGATGCTTCCAGCGATGCCGTCCAGGCTGATGGCGTTTTTGGCACCGTTATCTCTCCGGACAGTCACCGTCTGGTTCTTTGCAATGTCATTCGGCCCGATCTCCAAGCGAAGGGGAACACCCTGTGCCACCAGTCAGTCACGCGCGAGGTCAAGCATCGACGACGAACCTTCTGTTCCCAATCATTAAATTTGTATCCGGGGGTATATCCGTCACGCAGATCGGCTTTAGCGCGAATACCCGCTTTGCGGAGCGACTTTGCGAGATTATCACATGCATCGTTAATTTGAGCACGACCCTCGTCAGTAATTTTTGCCGTGATTCCACAGGGAACAATCACAACCTGAACACTTGCGACTCGCGGGGGCAGAACCAGTCCCTGATTGTCACCGTGGACCATGACCATGACTCCGATCGTTCGCGTCGAAAGACCCCACGAGTTTTGCCAAACATAAGTTTTGCCCTGTCCCGTTGGGTCGTTCGGGTCCTCGACAAAGATGTTGAACATCTCCGGGCGAGAAAAGTTCTGTCCGAGACAATGTGACGTGGCACCCTGAATTCCTCGTCCTGAGGTGGGGATGAAGCCCTCAACTGTCGTTGTGTACAGGCCACCAGCAAACTTCTCCTTTTCAGACTTGACGCCCGGGATGACAGGAACGGCAAGAAGATCCTCAAACACGCGTCGGTAGAGGTCCAAGATTTGTCGGACCTCGGTATCAGCTTCAGGTTTAGTCAAGAAGGCTGTGTGTCCCTCCTGCCACAGGAATTCTCGGGTCCGCAGAAACGGCTGAGGGTTCTTGAACTCCCATCGCACGACGCTGTTCCACTGGTTGAGCTTCAATGGCAGGTCACGATGACTCTTGATCCATTTAGCATAGTCTGCATGGAGTCTAAGACGGGAAAGTGACAATCGCATCAGGAGGCGTACACGGATACATCGCCGTCTCAGACGTGGGACGAATAGCAATCGGTTCCTCGAGATCGGAGCTTCCACTGGCGAAGATTAAGTGCCTTCACGTTCATGAAACAGAATACTTACGCTCTAGTAACCCAGGCCACCTCCGGAGAAAAGCCCTCGATATGATCCTTCTCTCGTTCAAGAACTTTCTGGGACACAAACATTGGGAAATAAGAGTTTTGCACGCCAAGTTCCTTGATTTCGGTATTGAACCACTCTGATTGACGTTTCGATCATGAACCACAAAAAATGTCTCAAGCGTACGTGTGATTTCCTCCCAAATGCTGTACGACCAGGGTTTGAGGATATAGCACCCACTGACGCTGTAATAGTCCAGCATATCTGCTTTGATGAGGACCTGAATCGATTCATGAATATCTGTTATTCGTTGGAAGTTGTGACTCACGTTCGTGTACCAGCCAGCAAAGTCAACCTCCTTCTTGACTCCGATGGCAATCTGGACTGCTCCTTCGATCTTTCCATCATCTTTCACTGGCTTGGGGGCTGAAGTGGTCTGAGCTGCCCCAGCAGTGGAAGCGCTGCTGAGATCAGCAAAATTGACTTCGATGACCTTGGCCGCGTCGGTTTCAAGACTCCTCAGATACGAAACGATGTCCTTCCCGGAGACAAAGACAGTCGAGCTCGAAGATAACGCATGCACTGCAAAGGTCGAGGTCGAGGTTGCGATAGTCGAATCCACAACAGTCACGACCTTGGGAAAGGTCGTGGAGTTGAGAGCGAAGGGAGAAACTGACAATGAATCGTTAAACAGGCCAAAAAGAAAGCGAATATACAGAATACGCACGCGAATTTTTATCAAGAGCAAAAAATTCGGTCAGTAGATCTTCGGACGCCAGTCGCATCTCCTTCAGATTGAGGTGTTTCCCCAGGGTCCCGGCATTTGTGTCCGTTTCATCGCGGGCGATGAGCACGACGGGTACGGGAGTCGCAGTCTTCGCGGTCTTTGGCTTGAAGACCAAGGTCTTGACGAGTTCGAACGATTTCGTGGACACGGAGGCATTTTCATCGAGAGCCTGTCGCCACGTCGCCGGAGATGACGTCTCGGCGTGCGCGATCTGTGCCACAGGAGCGATCGAGAGTGCAGAAAATGTATGAAGGACCGAATCCATCGTGAAAGAAGATGGGGAGTGAGATAGGCTAGATTTGGATCTAAATATCAGGATCGATTTTGGGTGTGACTCGACGCGAACTGTTCTCATTTGGCTCGTGCGTCGTGCTATGGGTTTGGCATGGCTTAAAACACGGCCAATCATGAGCAGAGAGACAGATTCAGGTGTTGGAGCAGTCGTCCTTCTCAGGCACTTTTCTGGCTTTTTCTGAGACTTGAGTGAAGCGATTTTACACGTATATTGTCCTGTTTACGCGACGTGTTGTTGTCAACATCATCAACATTCACGGATTAAACGCGGACTTTAGGCGGGCCGGTCGTAAGCCCTGTAGCCTGGGAGTGTCGGCGAATACCTTGGCAGGTTGCTTCCTGTGGCTTCTAACCGGAGCTAGATAAACCCTTGGCCAGCTATATAGTGGAAATCAACGCAATCAGTCGCCAGCTAGACTCTCTTCCTCACAACCATGACCACCCCTCCTTCGTGAGTGCCCAGTCTCAGATCCAATTCCACAATGAATAGCTCGATGGCAGCACACTCCACCCACCTCGTCTGGGTACCTTCAGCGGGTTTCCCTCGGCCCCGGGGACTCCGGTGCATTCGATCCAGACCATGCGCCGCAAAGGTGCGGGACACAGCGGGCCTTTGCCCAAGGTCCTCGTCGCCAACCGCGGTGTAGGTCTCAGATGTTATTTCTTTCTCTTTACTTATTTGCCTGCAGGAAATCGCCATCCGTGTCTTCAGATCCGCTCACGAGCTCGCTATGCACACCGTTGCTATCTACTCCTATGAAGATCGTCTTTCTGCTCATCGTCAGAAGGTGCGTGCCTCGACGCGCAACGTGCTGTTTTCTGACCCGCAAACAAGTCCGATGAAGCGTACCAAGTCGGCAAGGGGCTTACTCCCGTTGGGGCCTACCTCGCGCAGGACGATATCATCCGCATCGCCCTCGAGCACGGTGTCGACATGATCCATCCTGGGTGCGATCGTCGTATCACTGTCCACACGTGTAGTGGCTGATGACCCGGTCAAGATATGGGTTCCTTTCAGAGAACGCGGAATTCGCGCGTAAAGTTGAGCAAGCCGGCATTGCTTTCATTGGTCCTACGGCAGAGGTTATCGATAATCTTGGTGACAAGACCAAAGCCCGTGTGCTCGGCACGTCAAACACTCTTCTCAACCATGAATCGAATCACTAACATTTGACGTTAGCCATGAAGGTTGGCGTTCCAGTGGTTCCCGGGACCCCGGGGCCCGTCGATTCGTACACCGATGGAGACGCCTTCATCAAAGAATATGGATTCCCTGGTGAGAGAGAAGATGTGCCATTATCTTATCGTATATTGATCGCATGCAGTGATCATCAAGGCTGCCATGGGTGGTGGTGGACGAGGCATGCGTGTGGTCCGGGAGCAGTCTGATTTCAAAGATGCATTCCAGCGGGCCGTAAGCGAGGCCAAGGCTGCATTCGGTGATGGCACGGTCTTCATCGAGCGATTCCTCGAACGACCCCGTCACATCGAGGTCCAGTTACTCGCCGACGCCCAAGGAAACACCATCCACCTCTTCGAGCGCGACTGCTCAGTTCAGAGGCGTCACCAGAAAGTGGTCGAGGTTGCTCCGGCTACTAACCTTCCGGAAGAAGTCCGACAAGCCATTCTCTCTGATGCTATCAAGCTAGCGAAGAGCGTCAACTACCGTAATGCTGGAACTGCCGAATTCTTGGTCGACCAAATGGGACGTCACTATTTCATCGAGATTAACCCCCGTATCCAAGTGGAGCACACTATCACAGGCGAGTACTTCCATGTCATTCACCCATCCCTTTCTTACCCGAGCAGAGGAGATCACTGGCATCGATATTGTCGCTGCTCAGATCCAGATCGCTGCTGGCGCCACCCTTCCTCAGCTTGGCTTGACACAAGAGGCTGTGACCAAGCGGGGCTTTGCCATCCAATGTCGTATCACTACTGAAGACGCTGCTACTGGCTTCCAGCCTGATACCGGAAAGATTGAGGTCTATCGAAGCGCTGGAGGCAACGGCGTTCGATTGGACGCAAGCTCCGGTTTCGCCGGGGCTCAGATCACTGTGCGGCTATCCATATTAACACTGTCTTGCCTCTCCTCATGTTCCCCTTCTCTAGCCTCACTACGACAGTCTGCTCGTCAAATGCAGTGTCAGCGGGACGACGTACGAGGTTGCCCGTCGCAAGATGCTCCGTGCATTGGTCGAATTCCGCATCCGCGGTGTCAAGGTATGCAGCTCTGCGCGTGGTTCGTATCCATCTGACCTGTGTCTGAGACCAACATTCCGTTCTTGTTCCGTCTGTTGACTCACGATGTCTTCATCAGTGGCAAGACCTGGACGACAGTGAGTGTATGTGTCCAAGGTCGGGGGTCTGTTTTCATGATCCACAGTTCATCGACGACACACCGGAGCTGTTCAAGCTTGTGCAGAGCCAGAACCGTGCTCAAAAGCTTTTAGCCTATTTGGGCGACCTGGCGGTGAATGGTAGCTCCATCAAGGGCCAGGTCGGTGAGCCTGGACTCAAGGATGACATCGTCATTCCCAAGTTCCAAAGCCGAGAAGATCCGATCAACGGGGCGCCGCTGGATGCTTCTGTGCCCTGCTCTGTTGGCTGGCGAAACATCATTGTCGAGCAAGGCCCCGAGGCCTTTGCGAAAGCAGTCCGGGCTTACCCGGGCACGCTCATCATGGACACCACGTGGCGTGACGCCCATCAGTCGCTGCTCGCTACCCGACTCAGGACGATCGACATGGTCAACATTGCTAAGGAAACAAGCTACGCCCTGGCCAATGCGTACAGTCTCGAGTGCTGGGGTGGTGCTACCTTCGATGTCGCCATGCGCTTCCTCTACGAAGACCCGTGGGAGCGTCTGGTATGTTGTGGTCAATCAGATCATCATCACGTGACTGATCGCATCACAGCGTACTCTGCGCAAGCTTGTTCCCAACATTCCCCTGCAAGCTCTGGTTCGTGGAGCCAACGGCGTCGGCTACACTAGCTACCCGTGCGTTTTATCCCAGCTTCTAGCATTCTCTCCTGACTGGTGTCTAGCGATAATGCCATCTACGAGTTCTCCAAGAAGGCTGTCGAGAACGGACTCGATATCTTCCGTGTCTTCGACTCCCTGAACTACTTCGGTGAGTGCTTGAATCAGATCCTCACTGGGTGCTCGAACTGAGACATTCACAGAGAACGTGAGTGCTGTGATTGCAGCAATAGAGTCTGCTGACTAATCATCCTTTTAAGATGAAATTGGGTATCGATGCAGCCAAGAAGGCGGGTGGTGTCTGTGAAGCTGTCGTGTGCTACAGCGGAGATGTTGCCAGTCCGAACGAGAAGAAGTATACGCTGCAGTACTACCTCGACTTTGTCGATCAACTGGTCCAAGAGGGTATTCACGTCCTCGGTGTCAAGGATATGGCAGGTTTGCTGAAGCCCGAGGCTGCTAAAATGTCTGTCTGTCTCTGCATGACACTCTTTTCTTTGCTTATGACTGACACGACCACAGTCTCATCGGGGCGATCCGCAAAGCTCACCCGGACCTCCCCATTCACGTCCATTCTCACGACACTGCTGGGATCGCTGCCGCCAGCATGATTGCCTGCGCTGCTGCTGGCGCAGATGTTGTTGATGTCGCTATTGACAGTCAGTTGTCTCATTGTTTTTACCTTCCCCCGCTCATCATGTGTGCGATCTTTTAGGCATGTCCGGACTGACTTCGCAGCCTTCGATGGGTGCCGTCTGCATGGCCCTGGAGCAGACGTCTCTCGGAACAGGCATTCGTTTCGAGGACATCCAGGCCCTCAACCTGTACTGGAGCCAAGTTCGCATGCTTTACACTTGTTTCGAGGCCAATGTGAGGGCCTCTGACTCGAGTGTGTTCGACCACGAAATGCCCGGAGGACAATACACCAACTTGATGGTCAGTGGCTTGTGTCGATAAAGTTCCTAGGCTGAATCGGATTCACCATAGTTCCAAGCGTCTCAACTCGGTCTTGGCACTCAGTGGACTGTCATCAAGCAGAAGTATATCGAAGCAAACGAGTTGTGCGGCAACATCATCAAGGTAGACCAGACCGTTCATAGAGCCCTCGGATAGCACCTGACCGGTTTTGCAGGTCACCCCGTCCTCTAAAGTCGTCGGCGACTTCGCCCAATGGATGACTTCCAACTCTCTCTCGAAAGAGCAAGTGCTGGAGCGTGCCGAGCATCTCGACTTCCCGTCTTCTGTCGTCGAATTCTTCCAGGGATACCTTGGACAGCCGGTCGGCGGATTCCCGGAACCTCTTCGGTCGCGTGTCATCCGCGACAAGCCTCGCATTGACGGGCGTCCTGGTGCGACAATGGCGCCGCTGGACTTCAAGAAGATCAAGGCTGACCTCCGAAGCCAATTCGGCAAACACATCACTGATGCCGATGTGATTTCGTCTGTGATGTATCCGAAGGTGTGTGGTCCGCCTCTCTGTTGATCCCTTCGTCGTGTTGACTGGGGGACAGGTGTTTGAGGAATATCAAGGGTTCATCGAGAAATACGGTGATCTCAGGTCAGTGACATCTCTTCCAAAACAACACGCGGATTTTGACATGGCATCATAATCTCAGCGTGATTCCCACCCGGTACTTCCTGGGGCGACCTGACATCGGGGAGGAGATGCACATCTCGATTGAGGCCGGAAAGACATTGATCATCCGTCTGATGGCTGTTGGACCTGTGGTCGAGGGTCGGGCTCAGCGTGACATCTGGTTCGAAGTCAACGGAGAGGTGCGTCGGGCGTCCATTGGGTCAGCGTGTGTCTGATCCCAGCCCGCAGGTGCGCGCCGTGTCTGTGGAGGACAAGAACTCGGCCGTCGACACGGTCTCCCGGGAGAAGGCGACCAACGACCCCGGATCAGTCGGTGCTCCCATGTCGGGTGTCGTCGTCGAGGTGCGGGTCAAAGAGGGCCAGGAAATCAAGAAGGGAGATCCGCTTGCTGTTTTGAGTGCCATGAAGGTAGCCAGGCTGCTTCTCCGCATGGCTCGATGCTCATTCTTTCCAGATGGAGTCGGCTGTGACGGCCCCCGTCTCTGGTCACATCAAACGTGTCGTTGTCCAGGAAGGCGACTCGATCAACCAAGGCGATCTCACCGTCGAGATTGTGCACTGATCTTAACAAGGAAAATGAGGTGTATTTTTACTGTATGATGTTTGCGGCTGTTTTTAGATGATCCATACATTCCATGTGCAATTCCTTGACAATCTCCTGCAAAGCTGTCCGTTAACGAGAATACTTTGACTAGATGTACCTGCTAGACTTGCCTCAGCTGGTTTGATTACGTTGATTTGTCCGATTCCTGTCCCTGCCCAAATGATCATTCGATCAGGGTCGCCTTGAGCAGTGCCTTCCTCCAGCTGCTTTCGCAAGCTCGCAACATCCACGCCACGTTCAAAGTCCCGGACAATCGCTGCAGAGATCAGAAAAATCCTGCTTCACGTGAGCCATATATAATACCGTTCTTGAGGCCACGGCCATCGATTCCTGTCGGCCAGCCCAGAGTGTCTCTGGCATGATCCCAGGCCATGCTTCTCACAGACATCTCAGATGATGCAGCGAGCAATGCGCTTTTCTGGGTCCTCGAATACAAACTTTCTTTCGCCAAGAGAAATCGGGTCCCCAGCACAGCACCATCGGCACCAAGAGTCAGGATAGCCGCAAGATGAGATCCATTCGTCAGTCCACCGGCGGCAAGAATCGGAATTTGCCGATCTGCGGAAAGACTGTCGAGAATCGAGGGAACCAGGTTGACAACGGGAAGGGCATAGCCTGCACCGTGACCGCCACTTTCGATCCCTGAATAGAGTGCGATCAACAAGCCGCGTTGTTGGATGTAACCAGGGAGCACACCTTGCGCCACAATGCAGTCCACCTTCCATTCCCGAGCGGCGACTACTGCTTCTTGCGCCGTAGAAACTTGCACGAAGATTAGAGTCTTCTCGCCCGTGCGGCGGTCGTGCTCGCGTACGATGCTGATCCATTTCTCGATATCCGCACCGAACGCGAACCAGACAGCCTGGACGCGCTGGTCCAGAGCAACAAGGAGAAGGTCGACGAGCGGAGATTGGGGCTTCTCAAGTTGCCACGCAAGATAGCCAACACCCACAGGGATCCGTCGTGAAGGAGCACAAAGGTTACGAGCCAGATCTAGTTGTTGCTTGAACTGGTCGGAACCCAGACCGTAGCCTGGATGTGGTGGCCACTTCAATAGGCCGCGACTATGAATTATCCTCAACACAAACCGGCAGAGAGAAATCCAAAGCCTCCAGCAGCAGAGACGCGACCGGCCAACTCGCCTGGGGGACCAATAATGAGATCGGACTGACTCAGAGCAGCCTGAGTCAGCTCACCGCCCGCTGCTCCAGCCATCGGAGCGGACACAATTGGGGTCTTCGTGCCTAATGAGCATGAGCATCGAAACTTGAAAGGCAATTCCATGTTCCCATGTACCAAGCAGACGCGTCAATCGTGTATTGAAAGCTTTCATGGACATCGTAGATCAGGACAACCTGAGACTTCGGCAATAATCGGATGTAATGAACAAATCACTACACGGTGGGTACGCACGCCATTCTTTCTACTCTTGGAGGCGAGCACAGCTTCATCCACGCCCGGCTTACCCCATCCGCCTTGCTCCAACTGGTTACTGAGAGAAAGCAGAAATAATCTTGAGTTCTTCCTGGCCGCATCTACTGGCGCCTGCAATTAAAACGACGGCAGCGGGTGCGTCAGCGGCGTAACCGTCGACGGCTGGCCGGATGATTGAGTGCGAAATGCGTTTGGACGGCGAAATGAGCGCGGCGAGTTGATCATTAGACAGTGGAGGAGTGGAGGTGCACTAAGCTCCGACTCCTTCACACATTCTAAGTCCGCTTCTTTGGCGCCACGTACCATCGCGGAAGAAGATCTGCGCATCGTGGACGTCGCGTTCGTCAACTGATTCTTTTACGTTTCCCCGGATAGTTAAAGGCTGGTCTCCGCATTCGAATTCAACAAGTAGATGGAAAGTATTCAATGGATCAAGCACTGTGATCGGGAACTATGCACCGAGAGGCGTTTGATCTGGCCCGAGCAAGCCCCGCCTTGGCGGAGGACTCAGGATCCTGAGAAATAGGAGGGATGCTCGCGTCGAGATTAGAACGAGCCGACTTTCGAAGAATCGAAGGCGCCCTCGGAACAGGTTTGGAAATACGATCACTAGTAACACGCAGGTCGATGTTCCGGTGGCCGGAAGTGAGACGACGGAGTGCCTTCGGAGGTGATGGTAGATTGTGCGGAAAGAAGGGCAACCGCGAGTGTTGGGCGTGGCGGCGAAAATCGATTCACTGGAGCGCTGCAAGATCGGCCGAAAGTTTATCTGGAGCGCAGAGGCGCTGTTCGTTGCAACTCGTGAGTTTATAAGCTTGTAATCTGACTTGCGATCGTGTCGCTCTAGTAGGTACTCTAAACTGCATAGAGAACTGAGGCAGATGGAAGGATCTAGCAAGCTGGGACGGTCAGAGGAATCTTGACAGTGGTCTGCACGGCAATGAGCTCAAACCCAAGCCATAACGTAATGCTTACTGCAAGGCCCTAGGGAACATGATTGAGTAGACGTGTGGGAATGACGAAACCCACTCACAGATAGAGATGTTTCTTTGTATTTGACGCTCATGTCAGCAGCTGTAAGTCGCATGGCTTCTATGGCCTCATCCAGCGTGACACTATAAACTCCGTCACTTGCAAGGGAGAGCTGAGCAGCGGTGATAGCCTTTACAGCTGCGCAGGCGGTCAGATATATCACAGCCGAAGGCACGACACAGCCCACCTCCGAGACTGTTCCGTTCGATGCAAGGAATTTGTACCAAGCCGTCAATGGGATCTGCAAAGAATTGAAATGGGTCTGCAGACAGAGAATAGTAGCGATTCTGACCACAGGTCAAGCCCAGATTATGCTCTGGTCACAATCAGACACAAATCCCGTCCAAACATATCGACACACCTATGCCGATCTCTGCCGCCTATAAAGGTCTCTTCAGCACTGGCTAGATGCCAGACCCATCTCTGTCAAACGCACCTGGAGCACAGTCTCGGGGGAGGCTTCATTTGATAGAACGTAAGCGTGATTAGCCAGTCTGAGCAGAGCACACCCACCGCCCATACAAGCAGCAAATCCAGCACTGGCCATCGAACACGCGACTCCAACCTCTGCTTGGCATCCGCCCTCGGCAGCAGAGATCGTACTCCCTCGTTTGAACAGCATTCCGATAGCCTGCCCAATGATGAGCTCAAATAAAGTACATGCTCAGAACCAGTTCTCACAGAAGCAGTTAATAGAAATGTAATCACACTCTTTTCGGGATCATCGCTCACGAACTGGAGCGAGTAAGTCGGAGCTCGCACAGGGAAAAAAAACACGACAGACCTCGATGATGTACTTCAGAACGGCAGGTATCACACCTGTAACGTGCTTCACTGACTGGCGCTCTGCATACGATATGAACCCAACTTACCCGCAGCACCCTACACGTTCATCGGTTCGGATCAGTTGTTCAGTTGAGGAGATGACATCGTACATTGGTGGGAGACGTTACAATCCGCCCACCGCCGGCGTTGACTTCGTTGACAGCGATCGCATAGCAGCTGAGAAAATCCATGGCGGGTATGACGGTGCGCCTCTTATGTGGTTCATCATTCAATTTAAGCAGGAATGTACAGCGCTTGACTCACCGGCGGCATTGGTAACACCGCGTGCTCGAACGAGCCTACTACTCTGGCAGCACGCGAACCTGACGGTCGAACAGGCAATGGCTCGTCAGAATGCTTCGGCAACCCTGCTGTTGGATCCGTCGAGTCCCTCGGCGAGTCAATAGCACTGTCAGGCCGCCAACCCGCTGAACCACTTGAGATGACCGGATTGATCATTGCAGTGCCAGAGATCCCGGGATAAAACCTAGCCAAATCAGAGCACTGTCCGGACTCGAGCAGGCCACGAACCCCCTCATCAGACGGCGATACAGCATGGGTGCCCGACGTCTCAATCGCAGGCGTCCAGGCAGAGTGGTCTCGCTAGTTGACACACCTGTGCGAATGCATTCATCCATCACACTCCAGATGCGCATAAGCTGCCATGTACTCAGCCATGGCCGCTGAAAGAGAGCGAACACACCTTGGCATGCACCTCCTCATCAGAATATCCGAACGAACGCTCATTGTCCCATACGATTTGCGCTATTGTCATCTGCAGTACGGGGGTCAGCAGGCGGTCCGTATAAAGGCAAGGGACAAGCACACACGTTATGCTTTTTTGTCAGTTCCAGCAAATCGTTACCAGAGGCAAATGGATAGGGCGGACCCGGCTCCACGACATGCTCTGCGATCGGGTCCTCGGACCCTTCAGGTGACGGTTCGGGGAGAGGAGCGGCGTCCGAGTCTACCGGAGCGTGGACTTGATGCAGTCTTGCTCCGTGAACGGCTTTCTTGTCGACGCCTTTGTAAAAGAGATTCTCGTCCACTTTGGTCTTGTCATTCACAACAAAGCCACCTCCAACGCTGAAATATTCGTTTGTGGCCAGGAGGTCGCCATTCTCATCGAAAACACTGAAACGCATGCCGTTCGGATGGGTCTTGAGGACTTGATCCCAGCGCCAAAGCATATCACGGTCCATGTCATAACGAATTCGATGATAACCGGAAAGCAATAGCGATTTCCCCGTTAGAATCGTATCGTATCGCGACGGAATCGTCCCAGTGTCAATCGTCTCGGGGTCGCTGCCTTCTAGACCAAGCAAAATGGCTTGCGGAGTGTGATGCCTAGATGGAACACGCATGAGGGATCTGACACCGTGGCACGGGAAAGGCGTGCGGTTACCCTTTACCCGTAGCCGCTAGGGAACCATATCTGGAGAGCTCAACCAGACATCCAGTCAAGTCGTATGGAGACCCACAATGTGATCTTCACGGTGTGAACCTGATTAAAAGGTGAGCATTACGCCCACACACAGTTCAGAAGGATGGCACTTTTTGAAGCAGGTTCAACTCTTCGAGGTCAGCGCAGAAGATCTTTCCGGCTCTCATGGGACCGACGGTGTGGGAAGACGAAGGGCCAACTAGCAGTTATGGTCTACATAAGTGTGCTCGGACCGGTGGAGAGATGGGGTACCTCCAATACTGAAGAGATCGAACGTAGAGATGACCGCATGCTCAGAGCCCCCATCATTGGACGATGAATAGCGCCTGGGTATCTGACATAGACGTCGAGGAACGCGTAGAGCATTTTTCACGCGCGTGATTCGAAACATTCAGGTTCAACAACTTCAAGTGTCTCCGCCGCGATAGATGGGTGACAGTACCACAGCGTGATCGTCACATGTCTTGATCCCCTGGATCCCGGTTTGGGACCTTAGTGAATTTCACCACCACCTCGTCGTCGTGTGGCCGCCGCCGTTGTGATTGTGGTCTTCCCGTCAAACATGAGCTCGACACCGAGCAGGAACCAGCACCCCTTTCCTCCTTCCTCTACCTCATCTCCCGGTTTCCCGCTCAACCCAACTCCAAATCTTCATCAACGGACCCTTACTGCATCCTCAGCCTCCTCTGCATCTTTCCCTCAGTCTCCTGGTCCTTTAGGACAGACTGCGTCGTTGACCATCGAATCTCTCATGAAAACGCATGCCACTTCTCAAGACCCAAAGCTGGCAGCGCTCGATCAAGCCGTGCAAGAGCGCAACGTCCTCAGCTCTCAGAATGGACAGCTCTGGAAGCTCATCGAGAAGCAGCGTTCGGGATACAATCAGATATTGAAGGAACTAGAACGAGTGCGGGGTGAGCGGGATAATTATAAGGCCAAGCTCTCCGCCGTCGTGGGCGTGTCACCCGACCGCAGGCCGCGGAGGGAGAATGGTGCTGCCCCGGGCGCGGGAACGGACCCAGACATACAGGAAGGGTCTCAAATGTCCAGTCGCCCATCGGCGGACTCGAATCGTGCGTTTTCTACTCGCAGCTTCAGTTCTACCCATAATCGTGTGTGTTGCAGATACTCCGCGTTCAAATCCGGCACGTAATCAAGAGCGTGGGGCGTCACAAGACATTGGGACGTCGCCCTCATTCCAATCCAACTCTCACTCCACTCCGCCGAGACAAAAATCGGCGCTACCCCCTCTACTCGTACCCCCTCGCGCCGAAACTCTTCCGGTACCCGCTAGTGCGGTCTCTGCAACGTCCGAAAATGCGATCTTCAATAGTCCTTCCCGCTATGTTTCGAGAAACGACTCGGCGCCTTCACTGTCCACTCCTGGTAGTCGCACGCCACCTCACAACGCAGCACGTACGCAGTCTCCATTGGTTCCGTCGTCAGGTGCGACGTCTGATCCAGCATCGAATGGGCCGAGCTATCCCTCCAACCTTCAGCGAGATATTCAGATCACTACATCTCCTGGTACACCCATTGATAGTCCTAGTCGCGGATCTCCTATTGCAGGGCCATCACTGCTGAATGCATTGCATGAATCGCGGTCTCAGCCGCTCTCACGGGACTCACGTATCTCGCTCCCTGACGAAGCTAGACAGTTCATCGCCAACATGGCTGACTCTCCGGCATCGAGTCCCAAGACAGATGCATTCGCTCCGCGTGCGTTGCCCATTGTGCCAACGACCATCCCAGCCACTTCCTCTCCGTTAACGGTGCAAAATGAAACTCCCGCCGAATTTCTGGACATGGATGGTGATGGCGAAGAAGACGCTGGTGAAGAGGCCGACCTGGACCCTGAAGCAGACGGGTCTCAAGACAACGAAGAAGACGATCAACGTCATGAGCCTTCACAATCGCCCGTGGAAGCGTTATCTCGCCAGGCCACGGCGGCAGCCGACTTTCCTCTGCCTCCGAATGTCTCAAGCGATGCAATGCGGGATCTAAACAACCAGGCAAAGTTTCCTCAGCAAGAGAGGCTGTACCCTCAGCGTGGACCGCAGCCGTATAGCACATCCCCATCTGAGGCAACCGCCGCTCGCCCGCAATTACGCAACAGAGCCTCATCGTCATCGTCGCAATCTGTTGGCACACCCGTCGGACCTGCGATGCCAGCTTCGTTTCGTGCACTGCCACTCATTTCGACTGATCTTCCGACGACCAGTGTCACGGTCTCGCAGTCCTTCGTCCGTCCAAATGATCGAGGCAAGGAGGTGCTTTCATTCGTGGTGAACGTCGATCCAGGTCACGGCAAGGAGTTCTGGAAAGTGGAGAAGATGTACTCAGATGTCATTGCACTGGATCAACGTGTGCGGAACAGTGTGGGCAAGGTGATTGGCAAGAAGATGGTTTCGCTGCCAGAGGGGAAGTTGTGGAAAGATCATGCCCCGGCTAAGGTTGATCAGAGAAAGGCGCGTTGACCGTTTCAATGTACCCCGTTGAGGATTAACTGTTTCGCAGGCGGTGCTCCAAGCCTATCTACAAGCGCTTGTCAAGCTTCCGGTTAAGAACAACGACGAAGTGATTGCCTTCCTGACGTCTGACATCGTGCGAGATTACAAGCAACCTGTTATGCAAGCTGGGCACAAGGAGGGTTATCTGACCAAGCGGGGTAAGAATTTCGGGGGCTGGAAGACCAGGTTCTTCGTGTTGCAAGGTCCAGTTTTGGAATATTATGACTGCGTACGTGACAACATCCACCAGTCCCTCGCGTACTCAACATCCTCTGCAGCGCGGTGGAGCCCATCTAGGCTCGATACAAGTTGCGGGCGCTCAGATAGGCCGGCAACAGCGTACAGATCGCACTGCTTCGGATGAAGAGAAAGAGTATAGACATGCTTTCCTGATCGTTGAAGCAAAGAAGGGACCTGGCGGAAATCATCCACGGCACGTGTTATGTGCCGAAAGCGACGAGGATCGTGATGCATGGGTTGAAATCCTGGTGCGATACTTCACCGGATCGTATAATGAGGACTCGGTGTCGTACAGCGCTGCCCCGCCCGTCCAGTCCCAATCTCAACCTCGACCGAGCATCGATGCTGTCAACTCTCAGGCCCGGGCGGCCAGTCCAGCAAGATCTCTCGAGTCTTCTCCCGTCGACCGCTCTCGAGGGCAGCCCTCGAGTTTGCCCGACTCTTCGCCTTTGGCAGCTGCAGCAGCTCAGGAAGGGGCCAGTTATCCGCAGCGAGCCAGTTCCGAGCAAGGGCATTATTCCGACCTGCGACAACATTCTCCAGAACGGCCTCGTCCGCGAGAAGGGGTCTCGAAGGGGTTCCAGCCCACGCTCAATACGGTGGTATCCTCTCCTATCACAGCCGTGCCGCAGGATAGAGCGCCGTCCCCCGAAAAGCCAGAGAGTAAAGTCAAAATCTCTGGGCCGCTCAACGGGGCACCGATCCCCGCCGGTTACAAATTTGGGGCCCGCGACGGGCCATCAACCGATGTTAGCACCCCCTCGTTAAGCGATCGGCGCGAAAAGGCCAAGTCGAGGTCGTTTTGGGGTTTCGGGCGGCCCGGGGACAAGGACAAAGCGGACGGCAAATTGCATGCTTTGCCCACATTCGCACCTCGAGCCGTGTTTGGTGTCCCGCTCGAGGAGTCGCTTGACGTCGTTCAGATCGCGAATCTGCCGGCCATCGTGTTCCGCTGCATCCAGTATCTCGAAGCAAAGAAGGCCGATCAGGAGGAAGGGATCTATCGTCTCAGCGGCAGTTCGGCTGTCATCAAGAGTCTCAAAGACCGCTTCAATCTTGGTAAGAGACATCTTGTCTCCCCGTGCTGTATTGAGATGAATCTGGACAGAGGGCGACATCGACTTGCTAGCGTCTGATGAATACTGGGACCCCCACGCCATTGCTGGTCTGCTCAAAGGTTTTTTGCGGGAACTGCCGGCCAGCATTCTGACGCATAATCTCCATCTCCGGTTCTTGTCTGTGATTGACTTTGTCGATGCTCAAGAGCGCATACGCGAGCTTTCGCAGCTTATAGCCGCACTACCTCTCGCCAACTACAGCTTGCTCCGAGCACTGACTGCTCATCTGATCTTGATAGTCCAAAACTCATCTGTGAACAAGATGACCATGCGAAACGTGGGAATCGTTTTCAGTCCAACTCTTGGCATTCCCGCGGGTGTTTTCAGTCTGATGTTGGGCGAGTTCAACCGAGTGTTCAATGTCGACAACGAGGAGGAAGAGGAACTCGAGTCTGAGGCCCCTGGCGAACCCAATGGGGACTCAGATCAGGGCCATCAACGCCGGAACAGTTACCAGTATTCCACCGGAGCAGCTGATCAGCTGCTCGGACTTTCGGGCCGGTCATTGCCAGGCAAGCTTTCTCGATCCTCAGTGAATGAGACGCTGAGTCTATCTTCAGCGGCTGAAGAGGGTACATCCGATGAGGACTCTGTCCAATACGAGAGCGGGACAGAGACGACAGAAGATGCGGCGACCATCGAGTCGACAACCTCTGTCAGCCCACAGCAGCCGGAGACACCAACGATTCAGACCTCTCCAAGCCAGACCGATGGACAGATCCCCACGAAGATGAGCAAGGCATCTAACACCGCCAGCTCTAAAGGGCTCAATCTCAACGTTTCTGCTCGTTCGAATCGTCATAGTGTGGTGATGGGCATGGGCTTGCCATCGTCGCCCAGGCCCCCAGCCTCGCCACGCCACGCTCAGGCACCCGATGCCATGGCCCCTGCACCTGCTTAGTCACCCTGTCATGTATTTTCTAGTCCTGTGTAGTATCTGTAAGACTACAATCGTTCATATACCCATCGTATCTGCAACCCGAGCTTGAGCTTAATCATCCATCAAGCGCATCAATCCAGCGCTCACTTCTCCCTCCCATGGGCTTCCGTCAGGCCGTTGTCCTCGCTCCCACTTGCTTCTTTCTTGGTGTGCTGTTTATCTGCGCAAATGTCGATTATCGGGTCCTGTGGCCTGCCAACGGTGCCCTAGCGGACGAAACCATCGCGGACGCTTTCCAGTTTTATGAGACCTTCTTCAATGCACCACCTGCTATCAAAGTCAGTCAAATTGGGCTCTTTCCACCCGGAAATCACTCATCCTCTTCTCAAGGCGCTTCTGCATGCCATGGTCGGGGTGCTCATGTCCGGCTTGTTCGCCAAATTGTACGCGTGGGACGACAGCGCTATGTTTTTCGACGGTTCTTGCATCGGTATGTGTGGGCGACGGAAAGCACAGTCATCAGCTCTCAATTGATACTACAGGCATTGTGGTTTTTGGTCTGGCCGTGTATACCGCAGTCGTCGTCCCGTCCCTGCGGACAATCTCAGCTCCAACGATCACAGACACCAAAGCTGACCAGGTTGAAGCTATCCGCTTACTGAGCGCAG